CAAATTTACCCAGACTATTTTCCCAGTCTCAAAAGAAACTGCAATTACTGAAACACCACTTGCTGTGGTGTAATTAGATAAACGCACATTAGGATATGCAAGACGTGCACAGTGTCTCCAGATCGCATTAGTTGCCGTCTTCAGTATTTTAGTAACAAGTCATATCACCAGACAAATATTTGTCTGGCTTTCGTGCCTATAAGGATCTCAGGACCAGGGTCTATTCTGTTCTCTGTGACTTTTAATGGAAAAACAACATTTAAATCAAATCTTTGCATCTGCGCAATTTGTTTATTTTAGATATCGGTGTTTTCTTCATGGTCAACAACAGATATATCCTGGACAAGTTACGTCCCTGAAATAAACATAAGCAGAGTCATTTAATATTAGATTCGTTTTGGTTGTTGGAGAGGAAGAATAAGAACCCGTCCCAGTTTTGACAGACTTCATAGATGAGCTCTGCCTAATTGAAACAGCATGTTTTTATATAGCTTGTAGCCCCAGAGGCTGCATGTACCATCTCTGACCCCGGACTTTTTCGGGTCATGAACACATACATGCTATGAAAGCTTTGTTTAGAAAGCAGCAGGCCTGGCTGCTGACCCTTTGACCGCCCCATCAGCTGTTTGCCCTGCAGTGTGACCGCTAGCTGCTTCCCTTACCTCAACAACCTTCAACATCCTCTACTCGTGATGGTAGGCTATGTGACTTCGTTTTCAGGCACGTCCGTGGCTGTAATGAACGCGCATCTTATGTCGTGCAAATGCGCTCCTGCTCGCTCAATCTGCAAATATTATACGTATAATAAAACCATTTTCTGTGCACGTGGGTAATGTGATCATTTTGTCTTTAAGGCATTTAACCACCTATCATCATAACACATTAACGCACACATCACAAGTCCCGTGGAGACATGGTGACACTGTCCAGAGAAAGTTTGAAAGTTGTCAGTCATGAGAGAGAAAAGCTCTTACTATGATCGCACTGTGCCGGTGGCTGCAGGGTGTCTTGCAGGGGCTGCTGACGCTTTGAATAATAGATGGCTCCCTGTGAGCCCCCCCATACCCAGCCCAAATCCCTGCCATCATTACCAAGTCAATAGAGGGAGGCAGAATGCGCTCTGCCTACACGAGGTTTTTTTTTTCTTTTGCGCGTCAGTCCAACATCTGCAGCGACCTGTTGTAGGTGCGCAGGAATTTTCTGAGTCGGATAGCGGCTGCGACGGAGACGCTACACGCGTGGGATGGCTGTGTCAGTTTTGGACTGTGTTGGGCATTTTCACGAGGAAGATCTTTTAAGCGCATGTTAGGTTTCTTCAAGTTGACACGTTGGGAGTTTTTTTTTTTGTTTTAGATTTTTTTCTCTTTTTTTAAGTCCTGGGTAGTGATGGGATACACGCATGAATGACTTTACAGTTTTGAAACTGTAGAGTGACCTAAACAGAGGAAAATGGACAGTGTTATTTTTTCCCTTGTCATCGTATTTATTATAGAGGCGCACGCATTCCGTTACGGCTTTGCCAATAACCTCCAGCCTTTTATGTAAGTAAAGTTTTGTCACATCCTTATATATTTATTTAATCACAGGTATGCATTTGGGGTGGCGCTCACTGTATCCAGCTGCAGGTACTTTTTTACAGACTCACATTTCCTTTGAACTTCGACATAACTGCCGGTTCACCTGCACATCCATAAATCTGTGACTCAACCAGAGGTAGAAAGCAGAGGCTTAGGAAGTTCTTCTTCTTATTATTATTATCATTATTATTATTATTTAAAGTGATGAAATTGTGAAATTCTGGCACAATAACAATATTTGGTAGCATTTTCTAATAATGTTAAACTATTAAGCATTAGTAAGGTTAGTATGGTATTAGCCAATGCTTAATTCATCATTTATATATCATTACTCCTCTTTAGTATACTATTTATAAATACAGATATGTTTATCCATCTGTTACTATAACACCATGTACAGCTATCGCTGCTACTAAATCACTGCTAGTGATAATCATAGTCATTGTTATAAAAATATGTCTATGTTTATAAATAGCATACTAAGGGGAGCAATGCTATATGAATGATAAATTTAAAAAAAATTGCTAACACCTTATTAATACTTAAATAATGGTCAACAGTGTAACATTATTATAAAGTGCAGCACAATCTTATTTGTATGTTATGTTATTTATTACTCCCACTAGTGATCCAGGGAAATGAAACTATATCATAAAGAAATATCAGGCTATTTCTTTTAGCTATTTATCACTGACATTTATTCAGTGCACACTCAGTGTGAAGCAATAGATAAATATCACCTACTGTTCTGTAAATATAAGCTAATTTGCACACAGACCAATCTGTTAACAGTGTCAGCCACTACTGATTATTTGGCTCATCATGTATCGGTGCTTTATCAATCCAATAAATTTTGCTGCCGTGCACTTTCATCACGGTCTTTAGTGGTTTGCAGGAATGCTGTCAGTGTATTTTATATGAATGCACTGACTCCATGTGGCTCTGTGTGGCATGCAAAGCATTCCTAACTCTGTCCATGACTGTTTCTTTCACAGTGATGAGCCAGTGAAGTATAACTGCTATTTTAAACCCTAAAATAATAATAATTGTGTGACAGTGGTTTCTGTGCTGCTCCCTGCCACTAACAATAAGGTCTTTCACATTAAATTATGTGTACAGCCGAAGGTGATAGTGATCACTGTTATTTATGAGACGAGCAGCTGGATGTTGTCTTAGGATTCCCGCTGATCTCCATGTGCTGAGGCTTTCTTTCTATCCTTGGAGAGTTATGGAAAAAGTAAACGTATCAAAGATCGTTTTGGACTTTATTTTAAGAAGGCCTGTGAGGTGCAGTGAATGGTGCAGTTAACTTAAACTTAAGTTAAGTGTTTCAAGGCTTATTTTACCTGTGCTGAGATCTATTTTGTGTTCTTTCTTTCTTTCTGTCTTGGAGCAATGCTGCTGCGTAAACACTTTAACAGTTCCACTGAATATCAAGTTTAAGTCAGAGCAGGTTTACTTTGTAGCTCATCGTCCTGAAAGGTGATGCACGAGGAATTCCCCTTAAGTCTTTAGAAATACCAATAACTGGTCATCACACACCTTAGCACAGGTAATGCCCTCACAGGACTTGCATTGTTGACAATTAGAAAACGCCTCAAGCAAGTTTTTTTCTTTTTCCCGCCTGTCTTTGCCGCAACATCTCTTTAAGTGCTCATAAATTGCTCTGCTGTCGTCTGTACATCTGTGAAAACACTGCTCAACATCTTGTCTTGTTAAGTATTTTTTTACCAATCTTTTTTTTTTCCAGGCCCAATGTGTGTGCGGAGAAGGAGGTGACGCTGGTCGCCCAAAGGCAGCCATGTGTGCAGGCCTTCACACGCATGGTTAAAGTTTGGAAGCAAGGCTGTGTGGGGCAGTCGTGGTGCATGGGCTATGAGAGAAGGTAAATAAGACTTGTTATTTCTCATCTGTCTGCTCCCCCCTTTCTGTACTCAAAGCCTCTGATTCTCCTCTTCTGCGAGCACTCCTGACCTCACCTGCAGGGGATGTAGTGCTTTGCTGATTAAGCTCTGGCTAGAGCAAAGCATTAATTACTTGTTTTGAAGTAGTCTCTGTGACTCATGCAACCGAAAGAATTTATCGGAGAGGCCAGGATTCTTCGTTTAAACTTCATTTCCAAACATGAGATCCACCTTCCACTTCCCTCTTCATCTCTCTCACCCCTGTTCTGTAATCACAGCTTTTCAACCTGTTATAGAGTTAAGTGCAAGGTGTAGCCCCACATCAGCAGCTATTTAACATACGGACGTCTTGGCAGCAAACATTCCTTTAAAAGAGAGACCCAATCCTAACATTTTCGTCCTTCTCTGGGAGTCTTCTGCTGTGTTGCTCACGGTTGCTTTCCCCACATTAGCTGCTGGGTTACAAATTCAAAGGCTGCTTTAAAGGCCGCTAAGCCCACAATTACCCGCTGTAAACAAAACGTTTTCACAATGCATAATAACTGTGGAGCAATGACAAGGGTCCCAAAGTACAGGGAGAGGCACTGTTCTCTGAAGTACAGTCTGCCGTTCTCACACTTTAAAACAGCGCCTTGAAGCGGATTTGTGCTGAACATTATAAGACATGATACTTCAAAGGCCCTGAGCTGTTTGATCAGTGTGCCACGCGAAAAAAAATTAAAGATTACCCTCATAAATATTTGGCGAGATACTCCTGTTCGTTTGTACACGCACAAAGCAACGCTCTGCTGTTGTGTAATGACATGTTAGTTTTAGTATCGCTCGTGGCTGCAATTCAGACTGAATGTGATTGAAGGTTTTTTAACATGAAGTTTGTCGTGTTAACAGGACAGCCTACTACACTGCATACAGACAAGTGTACAAACAGGATTACCAGACTGTGTGCAAGTGTTGCCCTGGATGGTCCCAACTAAACGGAGAGGTGGGCTGTCTTTATCGTAAGTGCCATCAGTTTTTCTATCCTTTATGAGGTTTGTTTTTTTCTTTCCATTGACTTTGACCTTCTTGTGTGAAACAGCGTCTGCAGACAGGCAGGTAGAAGAGACAATATCTCTTTTCTGACTAAGCAGGAAGAAGGGAGCTTTAAACATCGCCTAACCACTCGCCCAGACTTCTCAATCAAAAGGGTTCAAGGAAAGGTCAAAAAGGTCTAGAGGTTCTTTGCCCACCCACTTTTGAGCAGATGTTATCGGTCAGTGTCATGGACTTGTGTCACTGCAGTACTCCAGCTAGGTTCAAATGTGGATACTGGGACTTCCATTGTAGTGGTTGCACTCGGCAAAAGACATTTACAGTCTCAATGAGGACATGGCTCTACAGTGCTACTTTAGTTTATGATAGATAGCCTGTCTGGCTGTCCACTCTTTCTCAGCTGGATATTTACTACAGCCTAGTTAAGCTCCACCTGGTCGAGCTGTGACCCTACATTTAATTCTTGGCTCACATCCACAGAGCTGTTGTTGTAGACATCACCTCTTTTCTCAATTAGATGTGTGACATGGTAGTGCAGGTCAAAAGCACCTGCGACTTGTCGCGTTTAAGGCCTCCCGAAGATTAGAGAGACCACCTTCTGATTTGCACAAGAAGAACAAAGAAAACAAATGAATGTTCCCACCACCAAATCCATGTATGGAAAAGTAGTTCCTCTGGTCATATTGAGACTGCCAGCAGCTCATCTCCTCCTGGTTAAGCTTAGCTTCACACCACTGGGACCAAGCAGTCTCCTTTGATGGGATTTTACAGCCAGTGATCCAGATCGCATAGCCTGCATACCACACAGAGACCCTTGGTAAAGCCTTCCTGTAAACAGTTTGTCCCCGTCAGGTAGACTGACAAGAAAGTTCCCACTTTCCTGTCATCCTTCCCCACCTGGAACTGAACCACGTTCTTAATGCCCAGCCCCTTACACCCACAGCACAGGCAGATTACTCTGTGGGATAGTCTTCTGATGGGAAGTGGATGGGACTGGGAGTTGGAGAAAATATCCTGGATGTTCCTGTCATCAGTGCCTTATTATGGTCTCTATGTCCTTTTCAAAGAGCCTCTTTGTTTCCAGGGAGAATGTTGCATTATTAAATTATATTAGGAGGCATTGCACAGTCGCTCCTAAATGAGCCTGGTTTGTTTTAAAACACTCCA